GGTCTCAGCTAAGTTCACCAAGCACAGCAGGGGCCTACAGACTAAGCCTAATAATAATCAACACGCCAGATTAAAGTCGCCAAGCATGTAGAAGAGGGGTAGCTAAGCAATTTAGGACTACTAAGATAATGCCTTAGCTAATAATTAACAGAAAGGCGGGGTTAAGAGTACATAATATTAGAGGAGAGACACGAAATGGAGAGGAGAGAGAATAAACACAATTTTTACTACCCACGAGCTCGTTGAGTTTATACTCTGACAACAGTACGAGAATCTGATAGGTTCAGGGATATGACCGGCTCGGTGATAGAGTACGTTAGGATAAAGTTTAATTTAGTCGTAGCAAAAGAGTAACTAACTTACCTAAAAAATCAGCTTACTTGTAAGTTCCTTTAAATAAAGTATAAATAACGTACTCCACAAGCGAGCTGGCCACCCAAGCGAGCTGGCCAATTTTGCCAAGACCACACCAATACTGCACCTACTTTGCAACATTACAGCACACAACTATAATATATTATACTACACAGTATACTAAACTAGTCTATAGTACTCTGCGTATCTTTACTGCATGTTTGCGTGTTGTGCCCTATCTTGCTATATATGCTATAGCGCCTTAGAGACTAAGTGCTCCTATTAACACGTAACCTCTTCTTTGCCTTCTTCCTATCACTACAGGCCTTAAACTCCTTTTAAGTAGTTAGTCACACTCCCCTAGCAAAGACTAGAGTCCCCTCTTGCTGTAATTGCTTCCTTTTGTGTAATTTATAACGTGTAGCGGCCTTGTTAGCTGCCTATAGGTCAGCAACCTAGTTACGCACTAAAACTAGTAAATGCGTCATCAGCTCTGCGCCTTTAGTAAGCTAATTAAGAGCGTTAACTATAGACGTTAGCAAACTATTAACGTAGGTGTAGGGCGAGTCGCCCACCAGGGCGAGTCGCCCACTTTTGCCAAGACCCCACCAAAACATCAACTCTACACTAATGCCTCCACAACTACGTCAAATAGACGCGTCCAAAGAGGCTTAGATACAGCTTACGCTACTAGCTCTTTAACAAGACCCTAATCTCTTAGTAAGACGCGCTGCAGCTCTCTACAACGCGCCCTAAACAACTCTACGCGACTAACTCACTAGACAACCTTCACGTGTTAATACTATGGCCAATTCACAGAATCTGACTGCTGCTAAGGAGTAGGTGGTTATTGCGTACATACTTGAGCTGGTCACGCGAGGAGAGTCCCCCCAGCTCGCAGCTGTGGCTGATATGGCCAATTCTCTGTGAAAAGAGCGCAGTTTGGCCCCTGTTGGCTCAAGGTGGGCTAGCACGTTTGTTTCGCGTTAGGAGGAGCTTAAAACAGTCTTTAATTGCAAGTACAACTATAAGCAAGCCCTCTGCAAGGACTTTAAGGTTATATAGGGCTAGCTTACCCTTATATCTAATATTAAAGCTAAGTATAGCATCCTAGACAATAACATGTATAACTTTAACAAGACAGGCTTTATAATAGGCTAGATAAGCACTAGAGTAGTTGTTATAGATATAGAGAAGCTAGGACAAGCAAAGCAGATCTAGCTAGGCAACTAGGAGTAGGTAACAGTTATTAAGGGCATTAATGCTACAGGATAGGCTATTCTAGCCTATATTATCTTTAAAGCCTGCTAACACCTGTCTAACTAGTACAAGGACAATACCCTGCCCTAAGACTAGGTTATTAGCATCTCTAAAAATAGCTAGACTACTAACAGGCTTAGGTTTAACTAGTTAAAGCACTTTAATAGGCATACAAAGACGCGCACTGTTAGTACTTACTATATACTATTTGTTAATAGTTATAAGAGCCACAACTCTACAGAATTGTAGCAATACTGCAAGGATTACAAGTTTATAGCTCTATGTATGCCTGTGCACTTATCGCACCTCCTGCAGCCACTTAACATAGGTTGTTTTAGCCCTCTAAAGAAGTTGTATAAGGATAAGGTTAATAAGCTTATTTATAACTAGATTAACTACATTACAAAGCAGGAGTTCCTGCTATGCTTTAAAGCAACTTACAAGAAAGCTTTAACCCCTAGCAACATCTAGGGAGGGTTTTAAGGGGCTAGATTAGTCCCTTTTAACCTAGAAAGGGTTATATTAACCCTTGATGTGAAGCTACGCACTCTATCACTACTACTCCCTATAAATAACAAGCCCTAGCAGTCGCAAACCCTAAGCAATACCCTAGAATTTAAGTTGCAATTAACTCTAATTCAAGACAAATATAAGAGGGAGCAGGGTAGCTCACCTACTTCTGTTCTAAGCGCAATTGAGCACTACGCAAAGGGGGGAGCTATCCTGTCACATAAGCTTACGCTTGCACAAAAACAAATCTGTGAGCTTAAAGCAGCTACTAAGGCCACTACACAACGTAAATTGCACAAAAGAAAGTGTATTTAAGCTGAGGGAAGCCTTGCAGTTGAAGATGGCTAGTAGTTAACTGCTCTAAAGGAGTTTAGAGCGCGTAGCGATGGAAAGAGGGGAAAGAAGCTAGTGCGCGCTAAAGGAGGTGAACTATCCTAACAACACTGTAGACAGTGCAGAGAGGTTGGACACAACACGCAAACGTGCAAGAATAATATTAGAGAGGTCTCTAAGTAATATTACAGCTTGTTTTGCCTTGTGCAGCGCCAGTTTGTGGTGTTTTAGGCCATAATAGGGTTTGATGGGGGAGGGTCTTGGCAAAAGTGGGCGACTCGCCCTGGTGGGCGACTCGCCCTACACCTACGTTAGTGTGTCTCTAAATGCTCTCTTAAATCAGCTTTAATTAAGACCTAAATTCTATAGTGTTGCTTAGTATTTTAGACTCCTACCTACTGTTGTCTATAGTAGGTGGCGTTAGCGTACGCAGCTGTACTTTAAGCTTTAATAGCACAGCCTCTAGGTTAAGTAGGACTAGGCCAGCACCTCTAAATCCTCCCTAGATGTTGCTATCTGTAATTAAGGCGTCAAAAGCCGCTTTGAAGCACAGCAAGAACTCAAGTTTAATGATGTGAGTAATCTTGCTGCGCATTAGCCACTCAGCTTAGCAGCTATAGGCCTTCTTCAACAGGGCAAAACAGCCTATATTAAGTAGCTGTAGTAGGTGCGACAAGTATAGAGGCATACACAGGATAATAATCTTATGTTCCCTGCAGTACTAGTAGAATTTAACTAAGTTGTAGCTCTTATAGCTGTCTAGAATAAGCAGCTAAAAGCTGCTAACAGTGCGCGCCTTTGTATGCTTATTAAAGTACTTTAACTACTTAACTCTAAGCTTATTATTAGCCTAGCTGTTATTAGGGATATTAAGAACCTAGTTATTAGGTATACTAGGCTTCTTGTACTAGGCAGAGAGGTGGTGCTTACTAGAGAAGATAATAAAGGGTAGGATAGACTAGCCCTTCGCGCAGATGCCTTAGATAATACTAGTCTACTCTTAGTCGCCCTGCTGCACTGCCTTTAGTCTCCCTTAACACTTAGAGCTAGGCTGGCGGATGGGTAGGGTAGGGTAGGGTATAGGTATAGTCACGTGATTTATGGGTAGGAACTAGGTAGGGTACATGAGGTACCCTACCCAAACGGTTTGGGTAGGGTAGCACGTGACTGGGTATAGGTATAGGTAGGGTAGCACGTGACTAGGTATAGGTATAGGTAGGGTAGCTAGGTAGGGTCTAGGAATGGGTAGTTATTAGCAAAATCTAGGTTACTACTCTAGACTTTGTACTATTGTATACTTTAGAGCATAAGTATGTGATAA